TGGATTAGTTTCGAAGAGTTTGGAATAGCCACGTCACGTAGTACGTGGAAATAGTCGATCTGATCGGACGTCATCATCGCCATGACAATTCTACTGAAAAACTCTAAAATGATAGAAACCGTTCTAATGGGACACTTCAACTAATCTCTTTATAAAATTTGTTTGAACAGTTGATGAAGACAATTCGAACGCGCCCTTAGTGAGGATAAGGAAGGCATGCTTGTCTACATGTATGACTGTATATTCTTGGTGGACACGTTGTAGAGGTTGAGAGAAGAGTACAAGTACTTTGAAGTACGCGTGTGGATGGAGTCGTGGGAGGCTACCCTTCCTAGAGCTACATGACTGTATGTTCTTGGTGGACACGTTGTACTTGTAGAGGTTGAGAGAAGAGTACGAGTACTTTGAAGTATGCGTGTGGATGGAGTCGTGGGAGGCTACACTTCCTAGAGCATTGCTAGAACAATAAACAATACACGCTAGAAGTACATGATTGTACTCGGAACAGCGCAGCGGGAATCATTACAGTGAACCCTGTCTAAGACGACCACTCATGGGACCTTCAAAACGTGGTCTCTGTTACCAGGTGGTCTCCCTATCCAGGGTCATTTTCACGTAACTGGAAATAGCGTGCGTCTCTTGATCCTGGTTTCAGTGGTCCTCTTGGACTGGTGGTCGCCTTATCCGAGTGGTCGCCTTGACAGGTTTTACTGGACCCATGATGTGTGAGGTATTGTGCTTTTCTCCAATGTCATGCAGTCGTATTTATTCAGCTTTTATTTCTTGTGTACTTGCATACTGGTATTAGTTTAGTCTCACAACCTGCGATGAAATGATCCGCTGTAGCACCTACTCCACTTTTATGTTTATGTATCTATGTCATTCGGATCTTCCCAAGTTGTACAATGTACTGTTGAGATACCGAATTCAAATAAATCAATACCAAAAAAAAATTGAAGGCAAAGGTCGGGCATTTAGACCGCCAAGTACTGTAGTACTTGAAGTAAGTTGAAGTAGAGGAGTTGACAACTACTGTGTGTGGCACTGGGGGTGGGGGACAGAGAAAGCGCACTCTCGCGAGTCTCTGCAAGCTTGCACCTTAGGTGAAGCCAACGCAAAATCTTTTGAAGCCTGCAAAGGCTGCATGTCACGTGAAGCAACGAGCCAAGCGCAAGCATACGGTTTGTGCATGTACATGAAAGTGCTACGTCACAGCATAGCAACAATTTCAAAAATTCAAGGTGATGTAGCCAATGAAACTGACTGATTTGGCTACTGGGGGCGGGGTGACAACTGGTGGCGAAGTAAAAGTCACACCTGCATGCGACACGAGTGGGTTGCACCCACATACTGAGGCAATAGCAAAGTCACACCTCCTTACTTAGTGGATCCAAAATAGAAATCTGATGTCAACTTACTACTCCCTTGCCGATTTTGACGTCATCACTTTCAAGCCCACCTAATCCAGTACTACTAGTACTAGTACTACTATCAAGAGTACATAACCCCTGGGTTATGTACTCTTGATCTTGCTACAATGTCTATGCATTAGAGGTGAAGTCGCATGACCTACCACTGCCACTGGCACTGGTGACAGTGGTGTGTAGCGCCTCTTCAGTGTACTTAGTCTGAAGAGGCGCACCAGTCACCATGGTCACCGGTGCACCGTGCATGCAGGGCCTGGGCCCTGGTAGTGGTAGACTAACTATTGAGTATTGACTATTGTAATGTACGCGCTGTACACAGTCATCATGGTCATGTATTACCAAGAACATCGGTGAGTTTCTTTCTAGAGTTGACGTCACTCGAGTTGAACCGGCTTTGAACCTTTGTGGCTTCGAGTTCGAGTTTTGGGTTGAACTATACTCAATCTGCGGACAGCATGCTGTTTCGTTCTTTGTGAACTCATCAGCGCAGCACAGAGGAAATGAGGCCGAACCTGACATGATAGCAATGGAAATAAAAACTATAAGTATTAATATTAGTTGAACTATTAATTATTTGTTACTTCCTTGGTCAAGTACAAGTTGGTGTGAAAGACAAGTAAAACAGTAGTTACTTGTTACTTGTAAGTTGTAGCGCGGTACGGTGCATGCACAGGTACTACTACTAGGTGACCAGGCGACTGGGACCATATCCATGCTGTAGATCTACGCTGGAGACGTGGAGTTGTCGAGAGAGCAGACGTTGCTTGTGTAAAAGAAGCTATCCTTTGCTTTTGTCCATTTGCCTTTCGCAACCACTGTGTCCTTGGTGGTGTAGGCTTGAGCACAGATTTTCCGCCGCTAAATATATTGAAACGGTACGGTCCTTTCCAAGCTCTCCCGCTAGCCAGCGGGTGCAATGGAGACTGAAGAGAAGCTAGACTTGCAGTCCAGCGAAGGAGACTGCGCCGTGTTGTGTGCGCAGACCGAGGCTGAAGCCAGCCTGGATGCAATGCTAAGCCTGGCGTGTCGGCAAGGCAAGCAGGACATCGTGGAGCTTCTTCTGGAGAGCGGTTCTCTTGTGAATCACCGAAACAAGGCAGGGAATACTCCTCTGCTCGAAGCATGCAGCCAGGGTCATGTAGACGTGGCCAGGCTGCTTTTGGACCGAGGTTCTGTGATTGATGCTCCAACGGAGTTGAAGTCAGACAGCGCGCTAACTTGGGCGTGCACGCTTGGAAAGAAACTAATCGTACATTTGCTTTTGACTCGCGGAGCGAACGTTGAGCACAGGACCAAAGATGGTTGCACAGCCCTGATGTGCGCTGCGTTGGCCGGACACGAGCAAGTGGCTAACCTGCTGTTGGACTACGGCGCTGAGATCAACGCGCAGTCCGACTCGAACAAGGACAGCCCGCTTACGTTTGCCTGCAGGAAGGGCCATCATGATGTTGTTGAGTCGTTGCTGAATCGCAGCGCACATATTGAGCATTGCACGAAGGAGGGCTTCACTCCTTTGATGTTTGCTGCACTCTGCGGTCATACCGCCGTCGCCGATCTGCTGCTGGTTCAAGGTGCCAAGGTGAATGTGCCGTCCGGTTCCAACAACGACATCCCGCTGACACATGCGTGCTGTAAAGGCCACCACTCGGTCGTCAAGTCGCTGCTCGAGTATGGAAGCAACTTGGAGCACCGCACCAAGGATGGCTGCACGCCGCTGATGTTAGCGGCACGCGAGGGTCACTTGAGCGTGGCCATGCTGATACTGGAGTACGGCGCCAAGTTGAACAGCCCGTCCGGCAACGAGAACAACATTCCACTGACGCTGGCTTGCTGGAAAGGCCACTGCGAAGTGGTGGAGTTGCTGCTGCATCACGACAGCGATCTTGAGCACCACAACAAAGCTGGCTGCTCACCGCTTATGCTGGCTGCCCGAGAGGGCCACGTTGAGGCAACTGAGTTGGTGCTCGAACATGGCGCCGAGATCAATGTGCCGTCCGGTTGGAACGATGACACTCCGTTAACGTTAGCATCGTGGAAGGGACATGCGGAAGTCGTGGAGCTGCTGCTGTCCAATAAGTCCAATGTGGACCACCAGACCAAGACTGGATGTACGCCGCTCATGGAGGCTACACGAGAAGGACATGCACTCGTAGCGCAGTTGCTGCTTGAGTATGGTGCTGAGGTAAGCATGAATTTGTGTGTCTCTGTGTGTGTCTGTAGGTGTGTGTGTGTGTGTATGTGCCTGTGTGTGTATGCGTCTGTGTGTGTAATCTGTGTATGCGTCTGTGTGCGTATGTGTGTGTATGTGTGTGTGTGTGTGTGTGTGTGTGTGTGTGTGTGTGTCTATGCATGTGTGTGTGTGTGTGCGTGTGTGTGTGTGTGTGTGTGTGTATGTGTGTGCATCTGTGTGTGTCTGTGTGTGTGTATGTGTCTCTGTTTGTTTGTTGATTTATTCATTAATTTTTTCATTCCAAGCAATACATGGCTGGGGTAGCCAATGACCACTTTGCGTGGCGATTGCAGGTTTTTATAGCCAACCATGGCTAACAAGGAAAAGAGTAAGAAGTCAAAAAGAAAAGGAAAAGAAGAAAGAAGCAAATATGGACTAAAATTGTGGTCTATTGGTAAAGCATTTTCCCTTCTGTCTGTCTATCAATTTGTCCGTATGTCAGGGTTCTAGCTTAGCGCAATCTTATTTTTAGCGAACACAGCAGTTTCGTTCTTATTCGATGGTACAGTCTTACATGTACCGTAATCTCACGCGTTTAAGGACGTACTCGGATGGAGAGCCAAGGATTATTTATAAAAAGTAAAAAGGACCAAGGAACTACAAGTTACACTATACTGTCCACTAACACCACCAGTTACTAAACAATCAGCACATGCGATAACATTGCACGACACTGACCGACGGTACTGACGTTCTACAACTAACTGGCTAACAGCTCTAGCACATCTTGGATGTGCACTCCAACAGCCTTCCAACTGGGAGGGTTCTAAGTTATAGAAATAACATAAGGAGTATCGTGAAGGATCGTCCCTCTAATGATCTCGCCCCATATTGGGGCGAGCGAGACTCAGACAATCACAACATTCGCAATAAGGTAACTTGGTTTACATAATTATTAGATTGAAAATATTACCAGAAACTTGAAGAAGACGCCATATCTATACACAAGTGCATGGCGGTACGGTGCGCACTGCAGAATAGCTGGTTGCGCATGCTCTAAGGGGCCGTCCGTAAATATCGAACTTTTTTCACCAAACGAATTATTTTAGTTTAGACCCAACCCCTCCCTCCCTCCCCCTCAGAACGTAAAAAATGTTGATATACATGTATATACAACGGCCATGTACATGAATCAATGTTTTCTGAAACGAAATTGGTCAACCCCCTCCCACCCCATAACGAAATTATTTCGTTTTGTGAAGAAAGTTCGATATTTACGGACGACCCCTAAATTAGTACTATGGAACAGCTCGCAGCAGTAGCATCAACAAATTGGAGCTCCGAAATGAACACAATGTCATGCATGATAAATCATTGATTAATCGCGATAGCTTCGCGACACTCCAGCCTGCAAAGTGGGATGGAAACAATCATAAAAGTTAAACCAAAGATTTGAAGTGTCGCCTTGAAACTGTTCCGCATTACAAACTATTTAAAGCAAACAAAGAAAACGAATTAGCTGATACTCTCATAGATCATAGGGTTGCCATGACACTGCACATCTCATAGATCATAGGGTTGACATGACACTGCACATCTCATAGATCATAGGGTTGACATGACACTGCACATCTCATAGATCATAGGGTTGACATGACACTGCACATCTCATAGATCATAGGGTTGACATGACAGTGCACATCTCATCAAGATGGAGAAAACAAAACTGAGTAACGTCACCCAGTCTATTACTACTAATTACTGCGCAAAATTGACTGAATCATGAAGTTATAATCGAGCGGATAAAGAAAACATTCGCGAATTCTCCATGAAGAAATGTATTATTGTATTCGTACAACATTGTCTATACTATAGTCAGAAGTGATTCCTTGCAGATTTCCATCAGCTGCGAGTTGTTGGATCAAGTTCCGGCTTGCCACTGCTGTGCGCCGTACTGATCGAGCAGTAACAGGAGGAGTGGGCTGCGGCACAGTCTCAGCGCTTGCACTCGGACTGCACTGCTTGGTGCTGGAAGTAGGACATTCTACTGGGTACAGCAGGTTCAATGGACGCTTGATCACATGACCAGCTTGATCACATGACCAGCTTGATCACATGACCAGCTTGATCACATGACCAGCTTGATCACATGACCAGAGGGCAGACGTACAGAGGCAGAACGCGTCTCGTCTTCAGTGCCTACATGCAGCGTCTCGATCGCGCCTAGCAGCCATGTTGCACGACGTTGACCTTCTTCATACACTAATGCTACATGACCGAGTGCTGGTTCTTCACTGGCACGGATTCGGTGCTGACGCAGCTTGTGGTCTCCTCTGCTTCGTAGCCTGGCTAGGTATTCATCTTACCAGGTTCTCCAGAAAGAGAGGAGCTGACGCTGACCCATTTCGAATTTCTGGAGTAACAGCTCAGCAGAACTGGCAGAGAGAACAAAAAATGGATCCACAGGATCAACAGGGTTAGATTCAACAGGGTTAGATTCTGGCAAACCAATGCATGGATTGAGAGACAAGAAGTGTGCAGGTGTAAGAACTTTCGTATCGCATTCGTCATCAACATAAGTAAGAGTGCGTGAGTTGAGAACTGCCTCGACTTCCATGAGTAAGGTTTCCAATTCAAAGTATCCGAGTACATTGCGGCCAAGGCATTTACTTTGAAGTACGTAATGAGCGTTTCACAAGCTGCACCATTCGCTCATATACACCGCCTTTCCATGGTGATAGTTCAGTGATGGAACGCCATTTGATGTTCTGACTACTAACATACGATTGAACATCATCATTGATCACCAAAGCATTCCAAAGTTGTTGTAAACCTTTAATATCCGCTAGGGGGAATTGCCTAGCATTATACGATAATAATTATTTGAACAGGTGTGCCTCTCCTAGACACAAACCTACGAAATGCCATTAAGAACGAGTGTGCTGACATGTCTGGAACTACTTTGAGATGTATTGCACACGTTACCGAACATGTAAACAGCGCCACCCACACCTTTGTCTTTTCATTACCATTACTCAATTTTAACTGGTTTTGAGGGAAAGAGACAAACGGGAAAAGTCTGAAGAAAAAACTCAATTTAGCAGTGAATGGACCAAAGTAATCAAGAACGGTGTTAGAGAAAGGAGTACAGTCAACTTCGCTTATAGCGACACTCGGCGGGGCGTCAGAAAAGTGTCCTGATTCGCGAAGTGTCCTTATAGTCGAAGTCTCATTATAATGTATTACAGTTGGATGGGACTTTGCTCTGGGCATGGGAAATCTGTCGTTATTAGCGAATTTGACTGTGCAGGGTGTAACGCGATCTTTCGGTAATGGTGCAAGCTTTGGCATTCTGAATGGTCCACCCTCATATCTCTTGCACATCTTACATTGCTTCAGACATCGTTTCACTGTTTCTCTGCCGCGTGTATTACCCAAAATCGTTTACGTGACTCTGCTAATGTATGCATGCAACAGCTTCTTGTGACAGTCGAGCATGACCAACTGTGCAATAGTTGACGTGTGCGAAAGCAATTTTGGGTACTTAGCAGCATGGTCCAGCGAGGCATGCTCCAATCTCCCTTTGCAACGTAATACTCCATTTGAATCCATTACAAGACCCAACTTGCCCACCAGATCGCATTTGGTCTTCTCATTGGCTCCTGTACCAGCTATGCATTTCAACTCCTCTGCGTGATAGACAGACTGTGCCTGCTTAATCCAAAGGAGTTCAGCTTCAGCTATTTCCTCTCTTGTAAGACATGTTGACGCCTGCAGGGATTTCACTTTCCTCGTACGATTGGTAAACCTCTTGACCCAGGCTGTGACTCGAACTAGCTTAGAGAGTGAGGGAAATTGGTCAGGATTAATGCCAGCGGGGTTATCCAGAGGACCCTCCCCCACTAGATTGCTGTGAACCACAGTAAATGCATTCTCCAATTCCCATTCACCACCAGTTTGCAACCACTGCGGTCCCTCCCACCATAGTGAGCTGCGCAAAAGTGAGGTTGCCGATGACCCACGGGACAAGACATCAGCAGGGTTGTGATCCGATAGTGTGTGTACTTGTGCATCGCAAGTGCCCACAGTGGTGTTGGCTGCTTTAAAGGGCTTCGCTCCAGCATTATATGCCTGTCTGTTGGCCTGCCTGCCCGTCTCTGTCCCTGTTTTTCTGACAACCTGACAACCTACTTGTTAATTCGTGCGGTTGTTTTCAGACGTAAAGCCATGCTGTAGAGGTCTCAGCCCTAATTTGTTAGTCTCTCCCTCTCTCCACCCCCCCCCCCTCCCTCCCTCCCTCCCTCTCTCTCTCTCTCTCTCTCTCTCTCTCTCTCTCTCTCTCTCTCTCTCTCTCTCTGTTTTTGGTGGACAAAAACATCTCTGGCGTTGATTGCTTTCTTGCTTCGACTTCTGCCGCGCCTTTGTTCTCATACTCCCCTTTATGTACAAGTGTTGTGCAAGCCCTCCTTTAATATAGTCTGTCTCATTTTGCCCTGAGATGTGTTGATGCACAATGATTATGACGCTCATCATTCGCTCCCTTGTCACTGGACAGTTCTGTCCGTTCCGTTTTAGCGATTCAAATAAAGAAAACAACAAACACATTCAACGACGGACCAGACGGTTTGAATTTCACTGGACACAATGATCTGTGATGTGAATTTCTGCCGCAATGAAGGTGTCGTAGGTTGTGCATTCATCGATGGGGATTTCTGCAAAACCAGCAGCTAGGTTGGCATTTCTGTACATTATTCAACAGTGTCTCAGCTGGCACCGCTCCGTTACCCTCAGACCCTGACGTAGCTGCTTGTGAACTGTGTGGCTTCCCAGCTCTAGTAGTGTGCGTCATGCCACCCTTCATTTGTTCCGCTGCTTCCCTTGCTGAAATATTATATTCTTTCAGGCTTTTACGCAACCTGCTAAGCAGCAGGGAGTAGTAGAGTACTGTACTGTGCTACTCCCTGCTGCTAACACGGTCCATGGAGTGGCACTGCTTTTTCTCATTTCAAGCT